TAATAGCTACTAACTTGAATTTTTATTCAAATTAATTAATCAATTATTTTTTATATTTTATTTATTTAGGCTTTTAGTGACAATCATGTATTGCGTTACAATTATATAAAAAAAAATATTTAAAAAAAGTCTAAATATGATATTTGGCGTCAAATCATCTGAGGCCTGGCGCCCCTNATGTAGAGACAAGGCTTTTAGTGACAATCATGTATTGCTTTACAATTATATGTAAAAAATAAAAATAAATTTAAAAATAAATTTAAAAAAAGTCTAAATATGATATTTGGCCTCAAATCATCTGAGGCCTGGCGGAACCCTCTATTCTGTCTCTAGGAAGAGATTCAGGTGATAAGGGGGGGGGGGTTACCTTGGTTTCTGATTGGCTAATGGTTACACAAGACAAAACATCGTTATGACATCAAAAAGTAGCCAAAATCTGATCAGCTCATTTTCAGACAGGTTTTTATAGAAATGGATCAAAAAGAGAGAGAATCTTTGTTCCTGAAACTTTCAGAGTCTCTTTCCACAGAGGGGACACATGTTGATGTGTGGATTTTGGAAAATAGGTGACCTTCAAATGTGATGTTGCATTGTGTTTGAGTTACCTCTTTGAGCACCGTTGTTGCCTTTGCTTCATCATTATTCACTGGAGTTTCTGGATTGGATGCACTTACTTCCACGGTAGTTTGATATCTATATTTAAAAAGACATTAATCAATCAGGGAGAACAGGGATTTTAACCTTTGTAGACCATTTACATGCACACAAACCTATCTAACATAACAGGGCCCCTTTAAGATACATGTAGAGCATTGGGCACAGATGTCGAAGAGTGATGTTTCTTCACCTGGACACTAGCTGGGACACAGATGTTATCCTCTCCCTCAGCCTCCCCTCTGTCCAGGTGGGCTTGTCACATGACGAGGGGACGCTCCTCAGTGATTGGGTGCGCCGCAGGTTGCTCTTCCAGTCCATGACAAATCACGTCACAGCAGCACTCAGTTTGCAAACAGCTTCATCACCTAATATGAGAGACAGATTGTATTCAAACTAATTACCTGTAAATCTGAGTATCGAAAAATTCAAGTAATGCAATCTGATTACTTTGGCTACTTTCCTCATCAAATGCAATGCAAATAAATACAGGATTAAATAAAGATCAATAAGATGTTTGACCTAATACAACTTAAAGCCCGGCAATAGATCTGTTTTAACACCTTTGAACGTCAATAACGCATAGACAGCAATGAATACGTTTGTTGCACTGTACAAAGATTTTTAAAGATGTCATTCAATCAAAACAGCCTTGCAAATGAGTCGACTAAATCTTAAGATAAAATACGTATGTTTTGGGCTATATAAAGAAAATGTAGAGTAGATGTGTTACCTTACAGCCGTCAGTCAGTGTCTGCTCTCTGTGAAGATTAGAAACTCTTCCGCGATCATCACAAGACCTGCACACGACGCGAAGCATTTCAGAGCAAAGTCCTTTTTCTTCCTCATTACCACAGACGGTGTAAAATGATCTATGAGAAGGACTACAGTATAGTAGGATATACACCCTCAAAGCAATCAGGAAGACCCACTGTGCATCTGCTGCTTTCATCTGGGGTTACAGAAGCTGGTTTGCACAACTCAAAATGGTTGTATTCAACATTTTAATCTGTATTTAGCGCATTTTGTCCTGAGTTTTTAGGAGATTCCTCGATGTTTGATATCAGGTCCAATCCCCAAAGCTCAAATGCAATCATTTGATCTTCAAGCAGCAAGACATCATCCATTAAATTGAAATACAATTAACTTCATTTTGCAATAAAACAACAAATATGATAATATGCAGCTATTTTTGCTTTGTCAGCATTTTGTGTGGGCTGGGTTTTGACGGTCACTGGTTAACACAGACGCTCAGGTTACAGATTTACAGATTTACAGTGCAATACAGTGACGTGTCAGCATTTTAAATGTACAAGTCGAGCAATCCACAAAAGACGTGTGTGAGAGAAACTCCCTTTGCAGACCATTTACATGCACAAAAACCTAGAGGAGAGGGAGAACCCCAACAAGCAGAGTATTGCACCTTTAACATGTGTTTTAGTACTGCTTCCACCTCTTTAGAAAGCATCCCTAAATAACTGTCAAGCTTGTTAAGGGCAGAAGAAAGCTGGGACGTGACAGAGTTTTTTTTAAACTGTATTTTCCTTTTTCTTAAACAACACATACAGTTTCAATGACAAACAAAACCAGGTGTGCAGGTTGTCAATTTTCATTGTTTTTGTGATATAAATACAATAGGCAATAAAAACAGTCATAAAAGTCACAAAAGGGAATTCATTTACAAATAATTTATAATTATGAATGTAATAAGTAGGCTACTTTAAAAACAAGGCAAGGCAATTTTATTTATATAGCACTTTTCAGCACGTGGCGATTCAAAGTGCTTTACAAAATAAATAAATATAAACAAAGTCTTGTAAAAAAAGGTTACAATTTAAAAGGGTTAAAAACAGGTAGAGTCCTGTCAAAGAGGTGAAACTAGTTGTACAAGTATAAGCATACTTTCCTTCAAAATTGTTAATCCATTATCTACCTGTTACTGTACATCTGTTTTGTGGAGAGATTACGCTGGTGATTGATTAGTCATGCCTGCCGAGGCCACGATGCCTCATTGAAGCTGACGGAGAGAAAGCATCATGCCGAGCGTCCTCATTGATATCTCCCCTTTTCAGGTAGGAAACGTAGTATTAATGTTCTCGAACTTTGAAA